AACACACAATGTATATATATATATATATATATATATATATATATATATATATATATATATATATATATATTCCTGCAGTGCAGCAACAGAGAGAGACTAAACTGAGGGTATCGTTATAAAGAAAATTTCAATTTGTAGCAATAGCAGGACAAGAGAAATGCGGAGAAATATCACAAAAAAAGGAAACGCAAGGAGAAGAACATGGCAGGGTACAAGACGAAAACGAACGGAAAAAGAAGCACAAACTCCAACACAGAGAAAACAAGCAAAAAGAAGAGATCAGCTTGTATAAAATACCCCAGCAACTTGAAAACTTTAATTATTATTATTATATTATGAATTATTTACACTGATTTGCAGATAATATTCATCTTTTTCCTTTTTTTTCTCACCATCTTGCGTATTTATCGAGGGCTACTACGCCAAAGATAGTACCCCATACGCTCTTAGAAAACCAACCCGACTTGAAAAGCAGCCCCATGTGCGCCATTTTCTGTAGAAAAAAAAAGATAAATAAACAAATAAACGGAAAAAAAACATAAACAGACGTGAATGAGACAAGATCCGTTCCGGATCTGCAAAAGAAAAACGATAAATCAACAAATAAACGAAAGAAAAACTATAAAAAACCGTGAATCAGACGAAACCCCCTCCATATCAAGAGTATGCATACGGAAAGGTCCGCTGGCACACGTCGAGCAAAATACATGAATTTGTATGCAAATGTATTGAAATAAATTGAATAAGTAAAACTATAGAGGAAATCAGAGAGAAATTCGGCGAAATTTCGTTGATTTCTGGGCTGTTGTGCGTTCATGGCGCATGCAAGATGGTGGCGCTGAGACGGAAATGAATTTCTTTTTGTAAAAATTCAGTGAAACTGTTTTTTCTATTTTAAAGAAAACTTTAAATTCAGACATTTTCGGAAATTTCAATTTCGTTTGAGTTTCGCTGATTGCGCACGCCAGGGGCATCAGCATCCTCACCGCGTGGTTCTTATCCAACTCCTCCTCCTTTGAGATATTTTGCGTTTTCTCTTCGAATAAGTACTTTTAAATTCAGAAATAAATATATTTTACGCAGCAAACGCCGCCTAACGACCACCGCTTCATGCAAGATCGAGGCTCGCCAGCCCCAACCCAGCACAGTTCATGATTCCTTTCAACTCGCATTCAGATTCTTTTTTTTTGTTTCTGTTGAGTTATGTTAGCTCAACAACAATGAAACATAATATATATATTGAATTAAATTTAGCATTTTCGATTAACATAAACGCCAGCTGCAGCTTTCCGCTTCCTCTCTGCATCAGGTTTTCCTCTCTATGTGCTGTACGGCCGCAAGCAGAGATAAAGAAAAACAACAGAATTCTAGAAACTAATAGGCTAAAAATATTTCTGTATTTGAGTTATTTTGTTGAATTTATATTCAACAACAGCACAATTTGCCTTCACGCCTCGCAGAGAGAAACATAAAAGCAAGTAACTTCTGCTTTTCTGTGTTCAACTCAAACCCGTCTGCATCATGCAAGCTCCTTTTATACTCTCTATGCGTTGATATTCTCTTATTTATTTCCTCTCGATTGGTTTGCT